CCAGGAAAGGTCAAGTTTTCAGTGGGGTAAAGAACAGTTGGATGCATTTATGAAACTAAGATCCGAACTTGCAACTGCACCTGTTTTGCCGTATCCAAACTGGAACCGTCCGTTTATTTTAGACACTGACGCATCGAATTCCGGACTTGGCGCAGTTCTTTCACAGCTTGATGATGGTGTAGAACGACCAATTGCGTTTGCTAGTCGTAGTTTATCGGACCCGGAACGAAATTACAGTACAACGCGACAAGAACTTCTTGCGGTAGTATGGGCGACTGAACATTTTCGAGTCTACCTTTTGCATGCGCAGTTTCAGATTCGTTGCGATCACCAAGCGTTGAAATGGCTACGTACTTTCAAAAATCCAAGGGGACAAGTTGCCCGTTGGATCGAACATTTGTTGGAATATGATTATGCATGGATACATCGCCCGGGCGCACAACACGGAAACGCAGATGGTCTTTCACGATACCCTGTCGATGACGCGCCGCCCACGATTAACTCGCTACATTTTCTAGGCAGTGATGAGGCATGTATGGAATGGCAAGAAGCTACTGACAACGATCAAGATCTTAAAGAAATCAAAAACCTATTACAAAGCGACAACCGCAATAAGCAACCGACTCGTCCAGGCGCACGCGCTCTATGGACCGAAAAAGGTAAACTTTTTGTCGACAATGGTTTGGTTTATCGAAGACTTCAGATTAATGCTAGCCAATTGATTGTTCCTCGCACATTTCGTAGTCGTATTATTCGTGAAGCGCACTCGACAGCAGTGACCGGCCATTTCGCCACACGACGCACGATTGCATTAGTCGCGAAAAAGTATTTTTGGATTGGGTTTCGCGCTGAGATTGACGAATTTTGTCGCAGGTGTACCGACTGTCAGCGTTCGAAAGCAAAGAATCCAGTTGATCGTGCACCTTTGCAACATTTGGCTTCTTCCAAACCGCTTGAACTAGTTGCAATGGATCTGATGGGCCCACTGCCAATTTCATCGTCAAAAAATGCATATATTCTCGTGGTTGTTGATCATTTTTCAAAATGGACTGAATGCTATCCATTGCCAGATATTCGTGCATGTACTGTCGCTCAATGTTTTGTAAAAGAGTTTGTGTCTCGCCATGGTTTACCTGAGCGCATTCACACTGACCAGGGTAAGCAGTTCGAATCACTATTGTTTCGCGAGCTATGCCTACGTCTTGACATTGATAAATCACGAACGACTCCGTATCATCCGCAGGGCGATGGTGTTGTTGAGAGAGCGAATAGAACGATCCAGAATATTTTGAAGATTTTTGTTGATGAGGCCAATTCAAATTGGGACGAGCTACTTCCTTCGACGATGTTAGCGTACAATACGAGTGTTCACGCGTCTACGAATTTTACGCCGTATTCTTTAATGTTTGGTCGCGAGGCACACATGCCTCTCGATATTTTGTGTCCTCCGCCTGCCGACTCACTTCCTGAAACGCACGAATCTTTTGCGAAAGAACATGTTTCAAAGTTGCGTTCCTCCTACGATTTGGTTCGACAACATCTCGATTCTAGTCAACGTTGTTCCAAAATCCGTCACGATCGAAAATCTCGCGCTAGTCCATTGAATGTAGGTGACCGAGTTTGGTTACATCGACATCCGCCGCCTCAAGTTTCGCCTAAATTTTTCAAATATTGGTCGGGACCTTGGGAAATTGTAAGGAAACCGACAGACGTTACGTATGCGATTGAACCTCGATTTGAGAGTCCTATCCGCCATTGGCCTTGCACAGTCCATCGAAATCGCCTTCGGAAATGTTTGACACAAATGGGACCTGCTGCACGAACACCGCCTGCTGCGCCTACACGAACAACTCTTGCTGCGCCTCCGCGACCTACACTTGCTGCACCTACACACACGTACCATACTCGTTCTCGCCCTCCGACTTAATTTAATATTCTTTACCGATATTATTATTATTATTATTATTTGTGCTCCCGCGTCAATGGGCTCGCCCAAATTCGCTTGCACCGAACCATGCGAAAAAAGGCCACCAGCAGGCAGGCAAAGAAAAATAGAAAATGGTGTCACATAAACTAATACAAACAAGAATATCATTATTGATGACATTAATATACTGAATGAATGGCAAAGGCCATGTGAATACGGATAATACGGATAATCAGAGTACCAACAACAAAGAATGTAGCTCAAACCATTGCAGTGCCAACTTCCTTCACCAGTACTCTGCCTTGTACGCATCTGTAACTGCGTTGCACAGATATGTCCATTCACGGCGATCCAGTGCTCGCTGAGCCATCAGCTGCAAGTCCCCTGGAGTCCTCAGACGCCGATAAGTGTCCTTTAATTCGGTGTTGGTTTGTTTGGTGTGTGTGGTCGGTTGTTTTGCTTCGTTGTTCTCGTCCTGGGTGTGGGGCTTCACTCATCACCATGATAGCGAGTATGTCTCTTTCGCCTGATGAAGAAATGGCAGCAGCCCTCTTGCTTCCGCTTCCGCCGAATTCGCCGCCCTCGTCTCCTCCGCCTCCACCTCCGCCCCAAACGCCGCCGCCGCATCCGAATTGCGCCATGTTAGAGCCATGGGATATCCAACCATGGGGGACGCCGCCGGAATTCGATGACTGGGTGCGGCAAGCACCGTCGCCGCCGTCGCCGCAGACGCCCGTCCTTCCATCTCCACCACCGACGCCCGGACTAATCAGGCCGGCACGATTGGACGCCGCGCGTCGCCACCTTATTATACCACCGCGCCCCCCATCGGCAGAGGAACTGATAACGGCTATTCGCCAGCGCCTGAATATCCGCACTTACCGACCACCGCTCCGACGACCACGCCCGCCTCCTCGACAACGACCACGCCCACAGCCTCGACAACGACCACGAACGATACGCCCGACGATACGCCCGACGAGACACCGATACTTCGACGCCGACGTTCTGCCACCGCACCGCCTTATTATGCCGACCATGCCCCGCCACGCACCGTACCGTCACTGGACTGGCCCTCCACCCAATCGTCGTCCTCGTTATGTGTTTCCTCGTCGGGGTCCGGTTTATGACCACTCCCCCCGTTGGTTTGTATGGTGATGTCCTGGTCCTGATTGTCTGTCTAATGTTGTCCTAATCGTTTTTTGTGCCGACTTGTAGCCATTGTGTTTCCCTTGCCATGTTGTGTGTGCGTTGTTTTTGTTGTTGTGTGGGTGCGTTTCTTTTTCTTCTTTTTTCTATTTTTGAACTTGCGGGTTGTATCATTTGCGCGTGCGGTTTTTTGTGTCTTGTGGGTCTTAGTCCGTTTGTCCCGATGATGTTGCTCGCGCGTTTACTCTTTTCTGAGCGAATGTGCAACTGAGGATTGTCTCGTGTACGAATAATTCTTTGTCGCTTCCTCGCAGATCGACGGAGTTCGCCTCGCCATGCGTTAGCTTATTCCCTTACTGTTTAACGCCTACTGACATTCCTGTTTTTGTTTCTAGTATACAGCCCGCATTTCGACAGATTTCGCCACGTCATGCGCTCGCCTGTACCTTTGTTGTCCACCGTTATGCCTGTGTTTTGTTTGCGTTTATGTGTGTGGACGTGTTGAATGTGCGGACAGGCGCTTCGGAAGTTGTCTTCCGGGGTGCCTGTCGTTTCTTCGTCGTATTTTTCCTTGGTGTTGTGTGTGCGGGCAGGCGCTTCGGAAGTTGTCTTCTTCCGGGGTGCCTGTCGTTTCGTTGTCGTCGTCCTTTTCCTTGGTGTTGCGTGTGCGGACAGGCGCTTCGGAAGTTGTCTTCTTCCGGGGTGCCTGTCGTTTCGTTGTCGTCGTCCTTTTCCTTGGTGTTGCGTGTGCGGGCAGGCGCTTCGGAAGTTGTCTTCTTCCGGGGTGCCTGTCGTTTCGTTGTCGTCGTCCTTTTCCTTGGTGTTGCGTGTGCGGGCAGGCGCTTCGGAAGTTGTCTTCTTCCGGGGTGCCTGTCGTTTCGTTGTCGTCGTCCTTTTCCCTGGTGTTGCGTGTGCGGACAGGCGCTTCGGAAGTTGTCTTCCGACGTGCCTGTCGTTTCTTCGTCTTCGTCCTTATCGTTATTCTTAGATCGCCTCAAGAGTTACAACATTGTATGCATCTTAAATATTGATCACATTCATGATTGTGTTTACTACTGTTTTAACTATTTTTCTTGTTCCCTCAGCAATTATTCGCAGGTCAATTTAAATTTTTTGTTGTCCCATAAATGTCTGTATATTTGAGCTATTTGCAATTTTTCCCCTTCCTTTTCTCCACGTGGACGCGGAGTCTTTTTCAAGCAGGGGTGGTATGTTAGGTTCACGATTTCACATATGCACGCACTCGCACACTCGTACGCACTCGCACCCTCGAACTCACCTTTACAGGCGCGCACTCACTTTCACTCTCGTACTCACCTTTTCGGGCGCGCACTCACTTCCACTCTCGTACTCACCTTTTCAGGCGCGGACTTACCTTTACTCTCGTACTCACCTTTACAGGCGCGAACTCACCTTTTAGGGCGCGCACTCACATTCACTCGACGTACTCACCTTCACAGCCTCGTACTCACCCTGGTTGCTTTTCCTAATCTTTTCTTTCTTTGGCCTGGGTAGCTGGACTCGCGCTTTAGCACATTTATCTCCATAGCTACCCAGGCCCTAGATAAGCTCTTGCTGGAGCATTTGCTCTCCCCCTTCTACCTCTTCTTGTCTTGCTTGCCTCGCCTGGACTTTTGTCTTGCTTGCCTGACATTATTCTATACGAACCTCTGAGATTCCTTGTCGTTGTCAACTAATACTTGGCCCGATCGTCTACGCGTGACTGTACCAGTCCTAACAATACATACAGTATGCGTGTTCGATTATCCGGTTCAATCGTCTACCCGGATATTTCTGTGTGAACGGATGTGTGCGGTTATGCGAGGTCTGACAGTACTGGCTAATGCTACACAACTGTGACATACTGCTGAATCCTATCTTACAAGATCACTGTTCTCATCATCTTTTCATTACAAAACTGCAGATACTCGGCGGCTGCGGAAGGAATGAAGCAAAGAATATGGTGTGCTCTACTCTTTTGATGCAAGACAGCAGGTAAATCACAGTTGAATTCTTCTGTTCAATACTTGTCTGTGTATGCGTGTGTGTGTGGGGGGGGGGGGGGGGTGCTGAGTGTTTTGCGCGTTTGTGTGTGTGTGGGGGGGGGGGGGGAAGGGGTTGAGTGTGTGGATGCATGCGTGTGTAGACGTGTTTGGGTGTGTGCACATGGCCCTCGCAAGCGCTGGAAGGATTGCGTTGTGTCCGAACTAAGAATCCGTGGCCTCACCAAGGACTGGTATCCTATCGCCTGAAAGTCCCATGCTGAGTGGCGGGCTATGTATGCCGAGCCTGCGGAGAATGCGCCTCAGCCTGGCCCAGTGGTATGTACAGATTGCAATCGGTCATTCTCGCGCCCTGGAGATTTTGCTCGCCACAAATGTATGGTTGAGCGGGCCAAGCCGATTGCTGAGCAGCAAGGAGCTTGTCACTGTGGGGATTGTGGGAGTTGGTTTCGTAGCAAGGGCGGTCTAGCTGTTCCCAGCTGTTCTGCTCCTCAGCCTCCCGAGCCCTGTCGAGCCTCTGAATAGGATGCCTGCTGTGCTGTGCGTGCTCACTGCTTTCGGACTGCGCAAGGCCGCGGTCGTCACCGATGCTCGAGGACTGGTCCCCGCACGACTTCCCAGCAGCGTAATTCGATAGCTCATGTATGCGTGTGTTCTCGCCGGCTCCATTTCCTCCACCATCTCCGGTGTCATCAGGCTACGTGCTCCATGTTCCTCCCTGTTGCCCCTCCTGGGCCCAAGTGACCCCTGTGGCAGTGGCTCTACAGGCCAGGTGTGTATGTGTGTGTATATGTGTGTGTGTGTGTGTGTGTGTGTGTGTGTGTGTGTGTGTGTGTGTGTGTGTGTGTGTGTGTGTGTGTGTGTGTCTGTGTGTGTGTACCGTTGATATCTTTACTGCACATTTTCCTCATCCACTTATTGCGATGTGGTGAGCCCGAAAGTGCGGTCATACTTTTCGACTCCACCCGTAGGTTGGGGAGGCTGGGGACTGCCAGCTGTTTGACAGTTCAGTAAGCCGTTGGTGCTGATGTCAGGCTTTTTGAAATGCATACATTACTGCCGGGCGCTGAAGAACAAAGCCCGTAAGAACAACCAGTCTAGAATTTCACCAAGCACACATAGCAATGTATGCACGGTGACTCAACTGTGCATCAACTGTATGTAGTACATGAATATAGGAAAGGTCTAGGCTAGGAGGAATATACAGCCCGATATCGAGACTGGACAGAAACGGCAACACGGACTGCGATGTTTATCCCGAAACCACAAGTGCAATGGCATGGAAAAGAACATGAGCAAAACAACACTAAACTTGCACATGCATTTGGCTTCAACCCGGGGGGGGGGGGGGGGTGATATGAGGCACTAGTCAGACATGGCGCTATTCAACATACTAGTAATGCTCTAGTCTGGTGAGTATCGTATGTGTGTATGTGTATATTATTGTGTACAAGTAAGGTTGGAACGAAATTATATTGCCGATTTTATTGCCCATTTTGTCCACCTTACTTGTAGGAAAGCTCTGCCATTTTGGGCTTGGAGTCCTTTGTGTGCAGAGAGGAGTTTACCTACTGCATACATGTGTGCATGTTCGTCATGTATGCGCTGTGTGTATACGTGTGTGTGTGTGTGTGTGTGTGTGTGTGTGTGTGTGTGTGTGTGTGTGTGTGTGTGTGTGTGTGTGTGTGTGTGTGTGTGTGTGTGTGTGTGTGTGTGTGTGTGTGTGTGTGTGTGTGTGTGTGTGTGTGTGTGTGTGTGTGTGTGTGTGTGTGTGTGTGTGTGTGTGTGTGTGTGTGTGTGTGTGTGTGTGTGTGTGTGTGTGTGTGTGTGTGTGTGTGTGTGTGTGTGTGTGTGTGTGTGTGTGTGTGTGTGTGTGTGTGTGTGTGTGTGTGTGTGTGTGTGTGTGTGTGTGTGTGTGTGTGTGTGTGTGTGTGTGTGTGTGTGTGTGTGTGTGTGTGTGTGTGTGTGTGTGTGTGTGTGTGTGTGTGTGTGTGTGTGTGTGTGTGTGTGTGTGTGTGTGTGTGTGTGTGTGTGTGTGTGTGTGTGTGTGTGTGTGTGTGTGTGTGTGTGTGTGTGTGTGTGTGTGTGTGTGTGTGTACACGTGTGTGTGTACACGTGTGTGTATATATGTGTGTATATGTGTTTGTGGATGCGTGTGTGTGTGTGTGTGTGTGTGTACGTCTGCAGGCGTGTCTGTGTGTGTAGGAGTATGTGCCCCGATATGACATGCAGTACTCCGAATGGGATTCTGAAATGTCCGCTTACTATGGGATGAGGAAGTGGATGGAGCGACGGAAATCATTTCTAAGCCCATGTTCGCGCCTCAGCCCAGGGAAAGTTTGAACATCACAAAGCTTCATCATACAAGCCCATGGGCCTAAGTGGTACCAAGAGTCCATAAATTATGGACAAGAGTACATAGATTATGGACTAGAGTCCAAAGATTATGGACTAGAGTCCATATATTATGGACTCTTGGTCGTACTATGTACATGTATGTAGTAAATGAAGTTTTTTTTGTACATTTCAACCATCAGGTTATTTTTGTTTGCACAGTAGCTTTCAGCAATGTACTTCTCACTTCCTTGGTACTTTTCAATGCCAACTTTTGGCGTCAGCGTATAACCCATGCCCGCGTATACGCCCATGGTCTTGTATAAGCCCATCGGAACGTCCTTGTGAAACAGATAAGCCCATGGGCTTATCTGCGGTACTTTGTTTCTGAAGTATACATACCTGATGACCAATGAACTGATTCTGGCTAGTTTAACACTTGTGTAATCAATGGTGGTAGTGTATTATACTGTATAGCAGGAATTTTCGGACGAAATTATTTTCGGACAAAGCCGAATTTCAACCTTTCGTACGGATTTTATTATTCGTACAGTAAAAAAAGAAGAAAAAAAGTAAATTATCGTGTCCGTTCCCAAAGGGAACTCACGATGGCAGCTAACACCCGATAAACCCTATAAACCCTAGCGGCAGATGCAGCGCCTAACGGTGGGGTGAGGCGATAAGTCTCACAACTAGCACAAGTGCCGAAAACGACCCCATTAGCTGCATCCAAGTTCCCAGTTGACTGTGGGTAGCAGCACGGCTGGAAAAACCGCTCCTAGGCAGGACTTGAACCAGGTACCTCTCGTATCTCAAACATGGTCTTTGACCAACCCACTGTGCCTGCCTGGTCCTGGTATTCGTACAGTTCTGCATGCTAAATGCACATGTTCGCATGCAGTACGCATGTATAGTGTACACATTTTCACATGAACAAATTTTACTTCAAGTATTACGGTATTAACTATTTCAAGTAAAAAAAGAGGCTGTGTACGAAATCATATGAAAATATATTCCGCCCGAAAATTTCTTGCTATTCAGTAATCATACCCACTCTGATTTAGCAAAGGCAAAATGCCCTTCTATGTGGGCATTGGGAAATTTCGTTGGATCCCAGAGAGAAGCGTGGACACTTTCTTTTCAACCTTATTCGTCTTCCTTCGCCAAAGGCCTTAGAACACTACGAATCCTGACCGCTTGTGCAACTCTCCAGAATGCAGTTAGCGATCTCTTGGCATATTAACCATCATCACTTTCATCGCTGTTAGTCCAGAACAAATTCATTCCTCTAGTGTTGATTGCCAGGTGAAATGCATGTAGCAAGTGTTAAGCGCTTTCCTGTGCGGTTTGTAAGTGTTTTTCGGTTTTGTTGGTGCTGTTGCTGTTTTTTTCTTGCAGGCCAAGAACGCAGCAAGGAAGTTCCTCAAATATTCAATAAGAGAGGGCAATCATTGGCTCATTCTCTAATGATGCGCCATCCCTAGCCCCGACCACCATCCCGTAGATGAACTTTACTTTAATAGCTTACCCACTTTACCAATGAGTCAATTAGCAGAGAACTCACACATACTCTCTATATTGCAATGTGTGAAGCGAAGGTAGAGATTCTTCACCTTTTGCTTAGGGCCTGCCACTGGCCTGCTTTGTAATTTGTGCCTGGTGATAAGACTGAGGGTCATGTATCAGATTTCAACTTTGCAACAGGCCCAGTTCATCACCACGCTGCCCCGACTCCCAACTGTATTGCAATGACTTCTTTGCCTTGCAAAATTCTTTGTGATCAGAAGTCGAGTGCAGAATTTTGTTTGGTGATCCATCTTTAAACACACAAGCAGCCCTGAAGGCTTCACAGTTGTCAATACAGTGATCTGGCAAATCTGGTGGCTATACGACTATCTGTACTGGTATGAACTATGGCAATTTAGCCTTAGCTGATCTAGCAGAATTACAGCATCGTAACAGAGGCATGCCCAGCCACTGGACCAGGCGAGGAGCCATATGGTCCGGCCGGAGAAGGTGGGGGGAGGGTCTCCCCGAAATTTTTTGGAAACTAGGGTGCAAAACCCTGCATTCCGGGCACTTTTGGCATTGTGCTAAAAATATGTTTAAAAAAGTGGTCCGGCGAGAGCCAAAGCTGATCTTGGACACAGTAGCAGCTGTCATACACGCCGCTAACTGAACCCAAGAAGCTCAGAACAGCAGCAAAGTGGTGTGGTGTGGTCCAGCACAGGGATGAACCTCACTGCCAGCATCCACAGTTATCGCGCTTTGCAGTGCAATGCAGCAACGCAAGAATAATAATACTGACAGGCATCACAGCAGTCTCATGCGTTAGTGGCACTAGTAGCACTCCCTACAGAACAATGCAAGACAGGCATCACAGCAGTCCAACGCAGTAGTGACACTAGTAACACTCACATCAACTGCACTCCCTACAGGAGGACAATGCAAGACAGGCATCACAGCAGCATAGTGTAGTACAGTCAGACCTCGTTTATCCGGATCCCTCGACACCCGGAAGAAAATCGTTGGTTACCGATTTACAGCATATGTCATGCATACATACAGTACGTGTGTTCGATTTTCCGGTTCCCTCTACTATCCATATTTTTTGTGGAAAACGGATGTGTGCGGATAAGCGAGGTCTGACTGTAATGGCAGTAACAGCACTCACATCAACTGCACACTCCTTACAGGGGACAGTACAAGACAGGCATCACTGCAGCATACTGTAGTGGCACCGACGCCAGCGCACACATCAACTGTACAGGGTAATGCAGGAAAGGCAGGCATCACAGAAGTGACCAGTGGTGCCACTGCCCACAACTGCAGCAGCTGCAATACAATCAGCACACAACTAGAGCCAGGTGGCCACAATGAAGAGCGGTCTGAGGACTACAAGGGCCTTGGCACTATTCACAATCTGTCCACCATAGCTTCCAATCTAACATGTACTTATTGTCCTTTGAACACATACAACCCACTCACACAACTAATATCGTATTCTCGCACAATGCCCCACAGCAGCCATCAACTCAGTATACTTACCCAGACATGCGTACATCATTTTTTCTCCTCTCAGGAACACTCAACAATGGAAATATTGGCAGAAGAGAATGAACTAGAACTAGTAATGAAATAATACAAATTGCAGACGCACACACATTATAAGTGTACAAAGCAGACTCAGCGGAGGACGTTCAGGTTGGTTGTAACTCTGAGTTCCATGCCGCTAGGCAATCATCAGACAACTGATACTCGGGTCTACCCAACAGTATGCTTATAAACACATAGGGCCACAAGCATAAACAATAAGTGTAAATATAGAATTTAAAAAATTGGAGTATGATCGTGGCAATATGCCCTTGCTCTAGGGAAGCAGATGGGCAAAGCGTGGGGCCAGCAGAGCCAAGCACTATTGTCATGTACGATTACAACTTGAGCACATAATTCCATGAAGTTTCTGTTGTCCTGGCACAGACCCATACGCATACACTCACAGAACTAATAACATATGATTGTAGTGACAATGTGGGGAAACATCTAGTGATGTGTTGACGTAAAACCCTCTCTCGTAGCTAAACGTGATAAACAAGCAGAGATGATACCCGCAAAATGAAGCTGGGTTTTGTAATGGTGTGTTGTATGCTGCAAAAAAGTCGTTCTGGGTAATTTATGCATGCAGGATGAAGCCCACCGGTCATTAGGCTGCTGATCAGAGTTTCATGCCCATTGCAAACTTTACGCAGCTGAAGATGAGCACAGAGAAGCAGGGGCTGTCCGTAACGGCACCTCCTGGGACTGTGATACATGGCACTCTGCCTAGCACACTGAGTACTATTCCAGCAGAAATTGTTACTCTCTATCCAAATCACAGCTACTCTGAATATTTCCCTCGAGACAGACCAAATACACTCCATTGAATTCTGCAATGCACCTTTCTGTCTTACCGCTTTTCATGTTGAGAAGGCATTGGTCAATGAGCATCTCGTGAGACATAAAGCAGTGAGGGTACGTTCTCTTGAACACCGGTGATGCTATGCAGGACGCAGTTGCTCGCTGTCAGTTTGCGGAACTGAGTTCAGTCAACAACAGGGCTAAAGTGATGCGCCCATAGCTCCTGCCAGGGAAATCCATACGTGTACTCTCCAGTTTACTAGTTGACGGTATCATGCACATGTTGAAATGACCGTGTGATATCAGTATCGCCATGCCGGGTCAGAACGCCAGCTGCAGTCCATCTAATCCGATCTAGCGTGGTCCGAGCCACTGGTGTGGGGACTGGTCCGTCCTTTGCTCCGGAGTTGTCATCTCTGCTCACACGTGCGCTGTGACTGCACTCCCCAATTGATGTGGCTCCAACCAGTTCTTGTGTGGAAATGCACGTAAGCAGTTACTTGCTCCTGTACTTCACAATATTGCTATCATGCTCCTGTTCGCTTTCTGCAAAGCACACAACACCCATATGTATGCACAAAGCCCAAAACACAGTTATATAAGCAGTCATGAACATTGTTAGAGTGCTCAATTAATAGCATCCAAAGGACAGAACCCATGAAACTGTGCAACCAGATCATGACACAACAGTTGTACATACTACCGTAAAGTCGCGGATAAAAGCCGGGCTTATAAGCACATAAGCCGCTGTCTGCATCAGGCTTCAATGCAAACCAGGCTTGTATGCAAACCATGCTTATATGCACCACTGATATTTTTGCCAGGCTTGTATGCACATCGGCCGATCCGGGCTTGCATAGAAGCCAGGCTTCTACGCGCGACACGCGTAGATCTACCACTGACTACCGGTATGGCGGCAGTTTTACTATGCACTGTACATAGCACATGCACTCTTGACCTACCCGATCCGCGCTTGCATAGAAGCCAGGCTTCTTCGCGCGACAGGCTTATATGCATTTGACCCGTTTGATTTTCAGGCTTCTATCCGCGATGTGCTTGTATGCAAACCCGGCTTTTATCCGTGACTTTACGGTATCTGGATCTTGTGCATGACAGGTGCAGCATTGTACGTACCATTCTTTCGTACACAGCTGAGGCACCAATATATGAGCTTCATATCAGCAAGGAGATTGAAATGGCGGTTGGATATTCATGACGCAGAGGCTGCGGAAACACCTTCGCTGGTTTGCTGCGGTAGACCAGCACATTGATCTGTTGGGAATGCCCAAGTAAAATAATACAATACAGGAGTTGGATTTGAATATGATCTGCTCATCCATTTCAGCATACTAGTTTCAGATTGCACAATTTGCTGTACACATTGAAGCTGGTCTGTAAAGGGTTAGGCTGTGCATACAGGAGAATTCTCGCCAGTGTAAGTTTCAACCAACCATAACCACAGGTTGACTGGAGCATTTACATGATGCTACAGGTTTAAGTCGAGTTCAATCCAACTCTACCCATCATGAACCCTCCCCCCATGGGAACATAATAATAAAACCATGTAACTTCAACTTCTGTTCCCATATTAGGGAAGAATATCTGAGGTTACATTTGTTCGGTCATTCCAGAATGGGCATGGAATGCCGTCGGTACCCATCACGGAATCGGAATGAGTGTAGTAAACAAACGCTCGAGCATGCATTCGAGAATCTGGCAATATTTTTACTCAACTCCGGAAACGACGGTCGAATGTTTTGTTTACGGGGTAAATGTGGTCATGTAGATCTACGAGTTGTTGCAAATGATGGCCTTGCGAAGTCTACCGGTAGCCTACAAATGATGTAGCTGCTGTTTTGCTTCCATAAGTTTCTACAGTCGTGGCCGAAGAAATCCAACACGCGAGTCAAAGGTAGCACTGCCTTTCCACTTCAATACGGAGGATTAGCAAGACGAAATTCGCGTTCGCGTTCGCTCTCCAAAGAAAGTCGAACTCAGTGACGGAATTCGCGTTATGAGAAGGATTAGCAAACAGAATTCGCACATGCATGACGTTGACACGACGTAGGCAGTACAGTGTAGTAAATTTATGACTGCCCTGACACGAATCCACGATTCGTGTTCCGACTACTTTTCCGAACGAAAAATGCGAAAGTTCGCAATCCAGTCGCGAACTGAAAAAATGTTTGCGAACGCGAACGCGAATTTCGTCTTGCTAATCCTCCGTAATGACATCATGCACGTTTCCAAAACTTATCCGCAGTGGCCGCATATGCCTTGGTGCTGCTTTCGGCACGTGGGTTGGATTTCTTTCGTCACAACTGCGGTAATTTTCTCCAAAAACAGTTATGAGTAATATCCATGGTTAAACATTTTTCTTGTAAACAACCACCTTTTCATCTGTGAAGATTTACAGAGTTTTGAACCAGGTACTTGCCCACGGCAACTCCGAACGCCTATAGTGTGTGACCCAGGGAGAGAGTCATAAATTATACCCCAATCCACTTACGGCGCACCTCCTTTAATTGAGCCCCATATATAAACTCTACATAGACAACTTTACGTGAGTCGAATGCAAGCTCTCGAATTCACGAGTTTTTCCGCCAATTTTTTTAAGTTACTCCACTTTACGTAGCTCAGAACTTGTCAATTATTCATTGCATTGTGCAGAACTAGCCCTTTCTCGACTATTTTCTGGAGTTACAGATTTGTTTCAAACCATTCATTATTGTGATGCCTTGCATGCAGTGGCAAAGCAGAGGCATAAACACTAGTTTGCCACTCAGATCTCATACACACTATCACGGATGGCTAGTTTTCCACCGCATACAAATTTAACATTCAAATCTCAATACAAACTACAGTGCTCCCCAAGGAAATTCTATTTAGAAAGTGAATGGCACGCCGGACGCTGCGCAACCCTAGACCTGCAAACACTGTGAGGTGAACTGGTGCAGGGGTAGACTTTATCCATGCGATCGGATTTCATTAAGCAGCACAATAAGCACAGTCTGCATGCTTTATTCTCACTCTTGACCAGCCAGCACAGCCATTTCTTCAGCAGAGCACCCAACGTCCTCAGACCCAGACCGAGCTCATGCAGATCAGCCATGGCTGCATCCTCACTCTCACATGGGGGTCCGTTTTCGGCGTCGCTTGCACCACCTGTTATCAATCGCCAAATCATTTGAAATTGCATGAATACTATTGCTTTCACACATTGCTTTTGATCTAGTTGCACAATATAACGTTGCAGAAAGTGTGTCTCGGCCGCATGACATCATGCCGTAGCCCCCCGGAGACTTAGTTTTCAAATTATTTGTAGAATGCTTCCAATACCATTCGACTCCGCAATCCGAACTCTACCGACTCTGAAATTGAAATGTTTCACCGGACTTCCCCCGATGTTTGGAGCACACACATTCTTCCCCTCCCCCTCCCCCCCCCCCACACCAAGAGTACATAACCCCCCAGAGTGTGCAACGCCTGACCCAGCTGTGCATAGGGTCTTGGTCGAGCGTAATTGGATCTTTGCGTCATTGTACCGTACACATCTGAGGGGAAACCTGGGGAGTCGCGGGTACTCTCGGATCAGAAACAACAGTGCTCTGCCTCGAGACCGGCGTTGAGCTGGTGTGGAGTGTACGCAAGACATCAGAAGATCCGACTACGCTCGACCAAGACCTTATGCAGAGCTGGATCACGAGTTGTACACTCTGGGGGGGGGGGGTATGTACTCTTTCTTTAACACATAGTACATAGTGAAATTCTGTACCATGCTGAGGTCAACAACTGACAAAGTATGCCACTCTCAACACCAACTGCAAGATATTCGGTGTCAAATCCAGACTATCGTCGTTATTCTTCTTCTACTTTTCTTTTGCACATAACGTAGGCGGCGGGGTATCAACTTCTGTTTAGTTTGTTTGTAGAATGCGACCATAATGTGTATTCTGCAAAGATGGATTCGGGAAAGCAGGAAAACATCTGATGTGTTTTCATGGGATCTACCATAACTATCCTCCCGCCAACATTCAGCAAGATGGAAGAATACGCTGTGCCACACCACACGCAAGCTTGCTACGAGAGTGATTCGTATAACATCACCGCCTCTTGGTCGCAGTCACGAACAGTACCCGGTCGACTCATTCATGTCGGATAGAGTTAATTGTGATAAGATGACTCAGAAAGGAAGGACGTGAACCACGGAGATATTCGAAGTCGTCCGGATGATACCATCAGCACAGCCACTATCCTGCGGAGACAAGGAGCTCCCTTGCTGTGCAAGCAGCCATGTTGGATGCCGGATGTAGGCAGGCAGAAATAAATCCACGAAGATACCTTTCTCCTTTCTACAGCAGGATGCAGATTCGGTATTATTGCACACAATATCGTGGGGCTACAAATCCAGCATGCGACACATGTAAAACCTTTGAGGCCCATTGAATGGATATATCAGTACCAGTGTACAGTACATACTTTTAAAAGCGCAATCTGGTGTAACTCGGCCGTCATGTGACCAAATCGGACAATAGAAAGGTCTATCGACATTCCAATTGTCTTAGCCATAGGCTCGAAAAAACCAGAAGGAGATCCGAGGTCAGAGAGTGGAGTTATGAGACTCGAACTACATTCGCTCAGCAGAGTCAACTCGGGCACGTGCATTTTGATCTAGTTTTTGGGGGTTACCCCTGACTTGCGACCACAGATAGTTCACGTCATCGCAAAGGCATGTTTCTCAGCTCTCATGTAAAAAAAGATATGAGCGATCTGCGAAACTTTTTGGTGAAATGGCAGAGAATTTGAGTTGGGCGCTCGCAATGCTGGCTTCAAAGCGCCGAATCACGCTGTGGCGCTGGTTCTGTGGATTCAATGATGGGTTTCTGGCTATCGCTAGCCAAGAGCTTTCCATATAGCCCAAGATCACGAAAATCGGCCAGAGGACACCATAGTTACGACCAGATAAGTAACTGGGCTTGCGTATGCAGTGCATTCCTTGAAATAATTGTGGGCCCTAAAGGGTTAACTAGATTGATAATGGCAGTGAAACACCCGGAATGCTACAGCACATAACAAGGCCGCGGTCACACCAAAACGGGCTGAAACAAGGCCAGCTGAATCGCTGACTGAAGTGGCGATCTGCACGCTCCCTGCACGGTCACACCAACATGCGCTGACCGGTGGATTAGTTTTGCGTCGGAATGATAAACTAGCTACCAGTGATTTCCTTCGTTGGCCATGCACAACCTCTCGTCTTTTGCAAGCATGGACAACTCTCCGTCAGGTTATTTTCTATGTGTTTGACTTATTCGCTGTGATGAATTTGATACGCAAACAACTTTTGGCTATTGCCTTGGCTTTGGTCACCGAGTCAATGCTCAGGATTGAACGGAAGGCTGAAGGAAATGATCAAGCAAGCGTTCGGGCTGCTGCAAACTCGATCGAAGAACACAGATTGAACAGAAGGCTTAAGGAAATAATCAAGCAAATAAATGACCTATTCTGCACTGCTCGCCTACTGTCCTTGGTCAAAACCAAATATCAGTAGATGGCAACGAAATTCCACCAATATTCCCACCCTCAAACAATGCAAAACTAAAAAAAAAACGCGTCCTGGCGGAATTCAGCCGGCCATTTGCTGGCTGAATTTCACCAGCTGGAAGTGTCCGACGTTCCGCGATTTCCATCATTTCCATGGAAACGGCACAAATTCGGCTCGGAATGGGGGGAATGGTTGAAATTTTGCTCGCTGTGACCACGGCCTAAAGGAGCGCATTTTTCAGACGTGATAAGTTTCACTCGGGTAAACACCATTTTTGATTGATATCTTGTGTTACAACTCTACCTGTTGACAGGTCACTCACCATAGATTCACCAGGTACACATCTGCACGTATCCCGAAGTACCAGACTCGGGCATAGAGTGCATGAAGATGACATCAAACCTTCTTTCCTAGTATGAAGACAACATCACACCTTCTTTCTTTGTATGAAAATGACATCACACCTTCTCTAACCTTGTATGAAGATGACATCACACCTTCTATCCTTGTATGAAGATGACATCACACCTTCTATCCTTGTATGAAGACTGGACACAAACAAAGAACATAAGCCGCAAGAAAATATTAATTTTCTTCATTATTCCATTAAGTCTGAATCCTTTACAAAGCTATACAGGTCTATCATCGCTAATACGACATGGTTACAAGACACACCTCATTAGCAGGCAACGATCAAAATCACCTGAAGCTTGAAACGTGTACGTAAATTCACGTACGAAGAGTAAATAATAATACTTAAATTACAAACTATTTGGAAACCACGGGTTACCGGCTAACGAGGGCACAGGTATACATGTACGGAGAAACGGCTCAGGATAAAGAACTCTGTACATGACTTAAGGCCAAAACCAAAAAAATAAGTAGAAGCGTACTACTTATTCGCAAACCCCGGCTCAAACAACAGACTCAGTCGGCTGAAAAAAGCGTCATGGCCAGCAATCGGGGACGCTTGAGAGTTGTGATTTTGTTACTCCTCCGAGTTGTAATTTTAGCCTGGGCCAAGCGCAATGAGAGGCCTTCTACAGAAGAAAAACTGGAGAAAATGCACGTTTTTTGATTCTTTGATGGAATCTTTGTAGCTCGTCAAAGTTAGTTGCTGTATGGAACAGACATTGAATATTTTACTGTGTGCACTCATGTACTCAGGTATGCAGTCTCACTTCCCGATGATTTTGGCAATTTTGGTTGGAATGAATGCTGCTCTGCGGCCCTCGGTGTGCATAGCCTGCGTTAGCAGAGCAGCTGAAAGGACAGTTACTATGGCTTGTTTCCGGTTTGAAAGTGGAGAGACGACCATCGTGCCTTGAAAAGGAGTAGAGAGCGACAAAGGTACGTCGGTAGCTGATTTTCGCGTGCTCCTCGTAAAATTTGAATGTATCAATATAGAATAATAATTTCGGACTGAAGTCAGTGCGGCGGTGGGTGTACAGTTTCCTTTTGGACTTGTAGTTATTTCGTTTCGTACCTACATATATGCTAGTGTCATGATGGTGAAGTGGAAAGGATAATTCTTTTACTGCTTCGTTCGGCCGACTTTGTTTCGTCCACGTTGAAAAGTGACCCTGAATATGGGTGAGATCGCAAAAATATTGGTTGTCAACGTACTTCATGGCATGCGATTGCTGGCCATGATTCTGGACAATTTTTTGGTTCTTACTGTAAATGATTCTGAGCAGAGGTTTACATGATTGTTATGACATAATAATCATGTAAACCTCGTGTTGATCTGCATTGCTCTTCTCCATCAAGATAATATTGTTAAATTCATGGACAAGAGCAATGCAGATCAACACGTACATGCATACTGAATTCATGTACACGGCGTATGCATTTGGATTTCAAACCAACCGGGTACACGTGTATCTGGCACAAGCCTGGCCACAAGTTCAGAGACGGGCACGTTCAAGAACGGCTACTGTGCATCAGGGAGTCGTGAATATTTGACGGCACCCTGCACATGATTATACGTTAGAACAAAGAGTACTAGTAGTTTCAAATCTCCCTGGAGATTCTCTTGTTAGTACAGTAAAACTTGTAAGTAAAGACCACTGTGACTAGCGACCAACCTGGTACTACAGACCACTGTGACTAGCGACCAACCTGGTACTACAGACCACTGTGACTAGCGACCAACCTGGTACTACAGACCACTGTGACTAGCGACCAACCTGGTACTACAGACCACTGTGACTAGCGACCAACCTGGTACTACAGACCACTGTGACTAGCGACCAACCTGCTACTACAGACCACTTCACCAGGCACGGACGGTCTCACATTCATATAATCCTATGGTATTATGGTTGTGCGGTGCAAACCTCTTACTACCGACCACCTGCCACTAAAGACCGCTTTCTCCGACCCAAGGATGGTCGTTAGTCAGATGGTTCACTGTACAGTGTATAAGCGTACTGGGCACTCTGTTCACATGCGTCTGCACTAGGTGCTGCCTGTTATAACAGTGTGTACCTCCTAGTTAAGGGGGTTCGGGACAGTTAGGCCCAAAAATTTAATTTCAACATCAGCCCAATCTGACATCAGGTTTGAATAGGTACAGCGTTATATTTTTGCTTAGTAACATCAGTTTTTCAATTGCCCGAATAGGTCTTGCCAAAAACACAATTTTCCTTGATGACACAAAATGACACAAAATCCCAAAATTGATGAGAAATCGTCCATAACATCAGTTAGGACAGAAAATATGACATAAAATTTTGCAGACTGTTCGAAGTATTGACTAAGATGATACCAACACCGAAAAATGTACACTTTGGTTGACGATGGGATCCAGGTCGTCATTTCCTGGAGAAGAACAAAAAGACGCAAAAAATGAAACTTTGAATATTTTTTGCAGCTTATTTTTGAGTTTGCCCCATATGTGGATACTTCAAACACGTTCTATAAGTGGGTTGGAACAGGTTTACCGCGGCGAAAATAGGGCATATTCTGGAGAAAAATCCAAAAAACTGTCAAAATTTGCCTAAAATTGGTAAATTCACGTATCTAGATTGCTTGTACTTCTCTGCTGCTGCTTTGGTCATAACTTATTGGATTTTTGGCTGTTAGGTGTTGCATAAACTCACTAGAGCCCTCGGCGTTCAGAACAATACAAGGATGGAATAGCTGAACTAGTAAATTTGCCGGAAAACCCTGGGTGCACGCATTATCGGTAGGTACTTTTCTCCATGATTACTCTCCTGTTGGCACTTGGTTGTGATACATGTACATGTAGCTATGATAGCGCTTAGCACTGCCCCATATCAAACTACAATGAAAGCTGACATGTTGGAACGAATCAGACAACATTGAGTCCTCTTGTTCTTCAACTATGTGAGCTAGAACGTGTCCCCACACTGGCAAAAATGATGGTATTTTACGGTGCGCACAAACAAGTGAAGCACTGTGCCACAGGGCATTACTTACAGTTGGGTTGCTGCTGGTTCTTCGCTAGGTGTTCAGCCACCACTAATATAATCTTCCTTGAGACTGTCACCCGTTTCTTACCTCCGACTTGCTCCTTCATCAGTCTGGAAATGGCTGGCTCACCACTTCGTTTGTAGGACCAGACAAAGTGCTTCATCACCAACCCACTGGCAGCTGCCCGCACTGCAACTGATTTAGAGAAGCACGTTGCTTGGACCAACGGTTGAAGGGTGGCCAGCCGCTTTTGCTGATGTTCTGCAAACTCCATCGCCGAACATGCTGATGCAAAAGTGACAGAGTGCTACAGGATACTGGCATCAGGGCAAGCTTCGACAATTATTATTTCAGCTAGGGCCGCAACATCCGCAACAGCATCATGAGCAGCGAGCTCATTCCCAACAATGAACTATAAATCAATCTGAGGCTGTAGCTTGGGAGCTCCGGTATCGCGGTTTAGGGATCAGAGTGTTCACCAATCACAAAATGCACACCATCGACACACACATCCGTGCACACACATACACACACTCACACACACACGCACACAAACACACACACATGCATGCTCTCACACGCAATAGAAATTAAATTCCAGACGAATATTTCTGCTTATACTGTAGAACACACGCGCCCGTACACACACACATACATTCACGCACGTGTGCGTACCCACCCACATGCATGTGCACACTCATGTGCATGAGTGGAGATGCCCGCATACACATGTCACACCAACATGCCCTGAGAGCGGTCATGCACGTGTGTATAGTATGTGTGCGAGGGCACGTCCACATGAGCGCATATGCATGTGCATGTTCATACATGCGTATGGTGCACACATGCACAAACATGCAGGTCTATGCAAGCACACAGACGCTCGCGGCCGCCGCGCATACAGTGTGCTCATACATTTCCATAGCCATAGGGTGACAATGACTCGCAAATATCATGAATAAATCTTATGAGATTGAAAAACGCACTTACCCAAAGCAGCTTTGGTGTTGCTTGTGGAAGCACGGGGACCAGGGTGTTGAGCAGTTACAGGGCTATCTGTATCTATAAAATTCTCCATCCCACACTGCTGACACGGAATGACAAGTACGCTGCCCAGGTCGTACCTCTTCTCTTCAACGCAATCAATGAGCGCCAGAGGTTTGCCACATCCAGGATTCTGGCACGCAGACAATCCCACAGCCAGATACCTGAGATGAACGATTCGTCGACCGTGAAGAGGGGCACTGAACGACCTCTTCGCGGGAGTCGAATCCAGTGGCGTTAGTGATGGAGATCGCCCTTTCCGTTTTTCAGGAACTCGATCGATCGTTTGAGTTTGCGAAGCGTCCCCCTCCTCGGCTTCTTCCATCGTCCAGGACGCAGAATGAGAGGCCGCGTCGTGGGTGACGGATTTCTCTCCCGCGTCTTCATCTCCACGACACGTCGGCAGGAGAACCGAGCTATCCAAAAACCGCCAATGTCAAAACAAATCCGCAAGTCCACTAGTGGCTGAGCTTCTTCCTCAAATCTTGTCTCGACTCGAGCACGCGCTGCGAAGTCATGGTCAAACTATTTTCTGTGCATGATCGCGTCCCATTTTTCCACTCCGAAAGGCATTATTTTTCAGAAAAAAATTCGGAAATCCAACATGGCGCTAACCGTCGCGAACCTCCTTAAAAAGAAATAATTACTCTAAATGACTCTGAACGTTCTTTTCCAAATGGTTCACTAAAATACCTTCCGACGCCCCTGGTATGGATCAGATCAACGTCACAGTTGACTGACTGTTCTCAACCAGACTGTGGAATCCTGACAGCTACTGAGAGAGGAGAATTGCCAGATGCATGCACACAGCACCAGTGCATGCACACAGCACCATTGCATAAACGATGCCAATGAGCGCTTTCGCAAGCTACTACTGTACTACAGTCCATTCAGAAAAGGTTGATATCCTAGCTTTTGGCCATAAACGGGTCAAATTTTGAGTTTTCGTCTCCTTTTTTTGGCAATCCCCCATGGAATGCTCTTCCAATTGTGTTTTTGAAGTCTATTTCTCCAAAAAGCAAGCCAAAACAAGAATAGGATTTCGGCCAGGTTTTGCCCCCAAAGCACTGAATTGGGTAAAAACCATGAAAATCCAGGCCGTTCACTCCACTTGCATAACAGTACATTTGCGGTTCGAACCCCAGTTGAGGTGCCTTTTTGGACCCTTTTTCAAGTTTCGAATCGCGCGCCACTGCACAGCGTACCACAAAATCACCAAACACGGAAGCTCTCCAGAGCCAGCGCTCAACCTTTTCTGAATGGACTATAGTTCCAGTACTCTGTCCCCGGGGGAAATTGCGATTCCGTGGCCGCGTTTTTTTCCGCCTTTTTGCGATTTTTTAAAAGACAACGTTTTCCCCGCGTTTTTTGGACTTTTCTGTTGCACTATACGTACACACAGTGCACTGTTCGGTCAGCAACGTCTCATCCGGTGGCGGCTTTGTACTCAATTATGACGAGCGCTTACACCAGAGACTTGTAACTGATTGATTTCACTACATACTGAAAATTGCCTCATATCAACTGCAAACTTGCCGCCGCGAGATGATATCAATAATATTCACCGCATATTTACCGCATATTTACCGCAAATTCACCGCAAACTATGCCATATTATGCCGCGTTTTTGCGATTTTTTCCGCAAATTTCCCCGGGGACAGAGTATTTGCAGGCAAAGGCATACACCTTTCGTACATACCGTAAAGTCGCGGATAAAAGCCGGGTTTGCATACAAGCACATCGCGGATAGAAGCCTGAAAATCAAACGGGTCAAATGCATAATATAAGCCTGTCGCGCGTAGAAGCCTGGCTTCTATGCAAGCGCGGATCGGATAGGTCAAGAGTGCATGCGCTATGTACAGTGCATAGTAAAACTGCCACCATACCGGTAGTCAGTGGTAGATCTACGCGTGTCGCGCGTAGAAGCCTGGCTTCTATGCAAGTGTGGTGCATATAAGCATGGTTTTCATACAAGCCTGGTTTGCATTAAAGCCTCATGCAGAAAGGGGCTTATGTGCTTATAAGCCCGGCTTTTATCCGCGACTTTACGGTAAACGCAGACCAAACACAGTTCAAGGATTTGGGTAAAAAATGGAGAAGGCCGAACGGAAAATAAGTGTTTTCTTACGGTGTTCAAACCTCCAGAATACTCTCTGTCATCTACAATAATATTTTAGAAGTTCTGGGCCATCAAATTTTTATATAACCTACCGTGCACTGTCGCGTTGCCGTCGTCTTGTCTCCACAGCAGTTCACCACCAGAAGCACCTGGGTCAACCCGCACTAAAATCCTGTGACTCAACCAAAATCCAACACGGACTGCTGTATTTCTGCTTCAAGAGTGTTGAAATTTCAAGTCTAATAACCAAGCTAGAGGCCGCAATATCTCCTTTGCCACAGAACGCCGACGTGAGACGGCATAGTAAAAATCAGAAAAACAAAAGTCCTCTTTGAAAAAGGTTTCTCTGAAAACTAAAGGCCTCTTTCGTTTTTTACTCAGCTACACGCACATACATCTGAGACCAAATATCCACCAGGCGTAACTACCGACAAAACAGGAGCTCATAGTCTAAAACTCTTATCCCAGCGAGTCAAGCCAACTCACTGTCACTCTACGCGTGACTTAGCGAAGTTTCGCAGCTCAAATTTGCGCCTGCAAAATAATTACCAGGGGTACCCGCGGCGCCCAGGTCTTCGTTTGTTCGCTGTCCGTGCACGGTTCTGTCCCTGTCTTGTTCACACCTCGCGTGTGCGCGTGAAGTCCATGCCTACCCTGTACAGGCTGAAGACCTACCGCGTGACCATGGTGACAGAACTGTGTCGTCCTTTGTGGACCCAACTCATCAGCGCAGCACAGAGAAAATGAGGCACAACCGGGGAAGTGAACTGCCTGAAAAGAGGAAAAACGCCAGACCCACCAGGACTCGAACTTGCTTGACATGAGAAATGCTCTAATCACTGCGCTACGGCAAGTATGGGATCCCCGACTGATCCTTTGAATTTGAAGTTCTCCCAATCCTTTCAAAAACGGTACCAAACATTTTAGTATTTTCATGTCACCCCGGACCCCGGTCCCAACTCAAAGTCAAACGGGGTCACTGGCAAGTATTAATATTATGATAGCGAGGAGGTTGTTTGACGCGTGCGTTCAGGCGCTGAGCGGTTCTTCTTACATATCGGCTATCACAAATAAAAATCACAAAATATGACTAAACATACAGTTGAATATCTATTACGACGTCGAGTATAGTGCAACATATCGTAGGCCTTGACGGATTATGCTAGCATAATTTTTCGCATAATTCCTACCAAAATCGAATAATCGCATAATTCGAGGCAAATTGCATACGAATCGCATAAAATTGTAATACTCCGCCTGTTCGCATCAAATTCCATACAGTTGTACATGTTCTACAAGTACAAGTACAAGTAGATGCACTAGGAAGTTGTAGGTTTACGACTCCCTTGATAACATGTCCAGTCCACTACAATCAGTGATGGCAGGTTTATGTACTCTTGGTGATGGTCGTAGGTAGGTCGGACGGTGCGTTGACCCCGTTGAACTTTTGCTACTACAGTACAACGCCCTCTACAAAAAAATTCCTCTGTTATTTTGCACAGAATCATTATGCATTAGCAGCATATGTGAGCATAATGCGGCATAATATGATAACTTTTAGCATAAAAAAAGCATAATTCTGCAATTATTTCAGCAATGCGAAAAGCATAATTTCACGAAAATATTAGCATAATCCTTCAAGGCCAAACATATCGAATAACAACTTCTCTACAGTTTTTTGAAGTGATGACGCATCTCTTATGAGAATGTCTATCATAGGAAGGCGAAACCTTAGCTACACATTTCAGCATTTTGGTATTGTATTTATACGTTTTAAAGAATTCCCCAAAGGCTGTTCGCCTGTGGAGGGATTACCTTGAGTGACGAAATACGTGGGATGGGAAAATTGGTAAGAGACGGGAAGAAAAAAGAAGAGAAAAGGAGAAGTGAATATCGAAAAGCCGAAGAGAAGTTTCTCGTTGTGTCTCAGGCTCTGAAGACAGCGTGACTAGGCTAGTAGCAATACTGAAGTAGACGCCGATCCTTTGATAAATTTGGAACAGGCTGAAAGAGCAGATACAAGCAGAAAGAGATGCATGTTGTTCCGACGAATTGCCTTAGCAGAGTTCCGCCGAACTGGCTCGAACAGAACTAGAATTACTTGAGGTTGTAGCACCATTCACCAAGTCGTTATGAGCACTCTTCAGCAGCGTGTGTCTGAGTGTCCTGATGAAACACGTACACTTTATGTGGACAGCTATTCTCCCATGCACGACAGCCGTGACTGAGTGAGGGGCTATCAACAAACAAGAGTATTCTTGTCAATGTTGCCGGCCAGTTGTCCGCGCAACACCACAACGAGAAGAAGACTGTGACAGTAAAGGAAGTACAGCAGCAAAATAATCTGGCCACATCTCTTTCACGCTCACCGCAAATGGAAGGGATCTGGATCCAAGATCAGCCTAATATCTGCTGTTTCAGATGAAAAGATTTTTCACAGAACCAATGCAGTCACAGCTTGTCTGCAGGCAGGACTACCAGTTGCCATGATAAACCTCATCCCAGTGATCCCTAACAGAGTTTACACCTGTCACTCCCTGAATAATGCCGTGTTGGTATAAGAAATACACTATTCAGCCATAGCCCTCCGTCAAAGCTGCAATGGAGAGCAGCCACTGGCGAATCGATTATGTCTACAAGGTGGTGGAGCGTGTGGAAAATATAGGGCCGGATTCAGCAGCAGATTGAATATGTGCAGCCTTCCTTTCTGACCTAAACCAAGAGCATTATAGCCCTTGTTGAAGCATTATAATCAGCATTGTAATGCAGTGTTTGAAGCATTATGATCAGCATTATACGAACATTTTCGGGCATTATCCGCTGGACCCTAGTCACAACACGAAAGGCGACATTTCGCACGAACGGTCATAATCCGACCGCGACCGGCATTGCAGCAATTACACAAGCAGCTTAGCTTATCTTAGCTTACCGGTCAGTAAAAAAGTAGGATTATATTATTTTGCTAAATAACTTGACGGAACGAAAATTGAAATTTCGCGGGAATCTTCGCACCCGCATGCAATGGCTGGTGCTTCGCCTTGCACAATCCAGTAGATCTACACTGTGTTTGATCTGCTACATGTAGTACCAGTTTTCCGATGTTGAAGCTAGGGTCCGGCGGATTCTGCCGGCAGAACAATTGGCAGAATTCGGTACTTTTTCTGGTAAGTTTCATACATGTTTGGTATGTGGATAAAAACAATGGAGCATAATTCGAGGAATTGCCCGCCATAAGGTTTGTATGGCTCTGCCAATTTCACTGCTTTTCGAGCAGAATCCGCCGGTCCCTAGTTGAAGCCCCTGTCGCTTTATCGCCGGTTCCCCCTTGAATCTCTGGACTGCTGAGTTCTTCCGTACCCAGGCATAGTCAGCGCAGTCAAAGAGCACTCGCATCAAAAATGTTGCCAATCTCCACAAACATAAGTCATTAATTTTGGATATCTTCAAGACAACTTAGTAAAACAAATCGTTCATGTACGGATACTTCACTCGAGAAAAGCCACGGTAAAGTCAAATATCTCACTAGCATTCTTCCGAATTTTCTCAAGCCCAGACGCAAAAAGCCTTATGACATTTCGCTCGGCAAAACATCTCCAAAGTTTACATGTATATCACACCGGGATTTAACGCCTTGGGAAGCCGTCAACTATTATACCAATTTTGAAAGTATATTGCTCTGAATGGCGGTTAGAACACGTTCAGTTGTGAAGTTCATATTTGCTTCGTATGTTACCCGTGCTGTACAGTTGAACAGTAGCTCAGCCTTTTTGACATATTCGGCTTTGTTCATTTGGTAAGATGAGGCCAACATGTGTATTCTGCGAAGATGGAGCAGGGAAAGCGGGAAGACTTCTCAAGTGTCTTCACAAGATCTGCTTAGACTGTCTTCCAGCCAGAGTTGAAAAAGATGGGAGAATACGATGTGCCAAGTGTCGACGTCCCACGCCATGTCCACCTCCTGGTCTCCGTCATGAACAGTTATTAGTTGATGACTTCATGTTCGACAATGTGGCAAATAAAAGTATTGGAACGAAGCAGTCGGACGCGAAAGATCATGATCTTCAAATCGTCCTTGACGACCCCATGAACTCTTCCGAAGTTCAACCAGAATCAAGGAGCGCTGACGTCGACCGTTCAACCGTGGTGAGAGCCGATAACCAGACACCTCATCACGGACGAGTTTACTTTTGTCCTTACCATGGCAAGATGGAGATGCGGTACTACTGCACTCGCTGCCGGGAGGTTTTGTGCGAATCCTGCTGGGTGGACAGCAAGCACGCATCACATATCGATCAGATCAGCGATGCCACTGAATCAGCCGCAGCGCTAAGACACAGACTTATGGAGCGCCTGCGCAAAATTGTCCCTGATGACAAAGACCAGGAAGTGGAGGAAAGCCTGCAATATGCTGGTGATCTCCTGGAAGCATTTGAGAGTGACGTTGCCAGTCAAGTGTCCAATATCAAGACACAGATCAGCGAAAAGTGTGAGGAGCAACTTCTAAAGGTGAAGCAACGAAAGAAGGAACTGGAAAGCGAGGCGAAGACTCGGAAAAAGGAGCTTGCAGAACAAGAAGAATATTACCGGAAGTCGAACAGTGCTGAACGCGCATTCCAGCATATACAAGACGGACTGAGATATGCTATACGAAATGAAGACCTTCTTAGAATGTATCCAAGTTCGATTAAACATCTTACAGCGGCGTCGCGTGATATGGACGCCAGAAGAAGTGATCTAATGCGGAGAACAGTATTCGCGTGCCAGAAGCATTCCGATCTGGAAGGCGGCTTTGGTGAAATGGGTAATGTTGTGGATAACACTGACATTGATTTGTCGAGGTGTGCCTTCGCTGACGGTAGCCATTATTTTGGATTTGTAGGGGGTGAACTAGGTTTTGGTGCAAAAGTGAGAAATGGGCGAGGCCAACTTGTGTCTGATGTCGCATTGAAAGTCTCCAGCTTTCAAATCTGGGCAACTAAACTTGGTGGTGGATTGTGTAGCACGGCTCCAGAGCTAGTGCCTGTATTAGATTATAGCAAGGGCCATGTGCATGCTCTATTCCAGTATGACTTCCGAGAACCTGCAACCTATCTCCTTGAGCTGTTGCTGGATACTCCCTGTCCCTTACCAGAACTTCAAAAGAAATCAACGGCTTTTGATGTAGCCAAGTATTTTCCTTTAAAAACTTGGCTTTTTGTGTACAAATCCAAGGCCAGCTTCTTCCACTCGCCTGATGTGTCACCCAGCCAGGGCATAGAAGTTTCGTATTCAAGTATTTGGTCACCTCATCTTTCATGGGCGCCCCCCTGCATCGGACTACGCCAAGTAGAGAATGAAGTCGCTACAGCACGAGCGATGATGCCGGTTCAAGACCGAGACTTTTCAGTAGCATTCATCATCTTCAAATGCCCATCCAGTAAGATTGACATAGGATTTTCGTTG